TCTTCAGTTCCCCCAGCTTGAGAAATACTGACCGTGTTCTTCCCTTTTGGTTTTCTAACTCTAAATCTTTGCATATTTTATTATAGTATTTGGCTATACTATAATAGTGGGTGGCTAGTGGGTTCAAATCACCAACCTTATGGACAGTCCTGTGCTTACCCTACAGCTCCACTTCATTTCTCTTAATTGCCTTATATCTATTTAGTTGTGGTTCTATTTAAAAGCAGGATAGAACTAGACCAATCTAGAACCTTTCAACTCCAAGTATGGTCTACAAAGCCCAGAATTCCAGAATTTCCAGCCCCAACCCAGGCCTCCTGAATCAGAAGCTGCATACTAATACGGTCCTCCAGATGATTTCACTTGTATGTTAAAGTTGAGAAACACAAATCTGGAGTGATTCCATTTTTTTCTGTCATTTATAGAGATATTAGATATTATTCCACCTTCCCCCCCCACACACACACTTTTTCATACTTCCAGCCCAGATATTAAATGTTTACAGTTATAATGGAGGTGATATGCTGTAGGAGACAACAATAATGATAATAAAGTAAGAAATGTTACCACGCTAAAATCCAGGAAACAAAACAAGCAGGTAACCATGATGAAAGAAGGTATGTGATTGAGAAATGGGTGGGGGAAGAGGATCTTGGATTTTATATTTGGCAGAGGCAAAGAGTGTTCCAAACAACTATTTCCTATGACTGCACTGCATTTTATAACACTGTCCCAATCACAATTGAAGTGAACAACCAGGGATCCTTTGAGAGTCAGTATTATTAGATCATAGATCTCATTGGATTTTAAATAACTAGTATAGGAGCCGACCTTACACAGTGCTTAAGACCTTGGACTATAGAAGTTGTCTGCTTGGGTTGCAAGCCTGTTACTTTCTTTCTTTGATCTTGGGCAGCTATATGCCTGCTATGAGACTCAATTTTCTCATCCATTAAATCACCCAAATAGTGCTGACATGTTGTGAGAATTAAATAAGCACAAATAGTGCTTTTTAAAAAAGCCCCTTGTTAAAATACTCTATTTCTATATTATTACATTCCTCATAAACATTTCTAAAGGAAACAATGAGTGTTCTATTTTGTGTTTTATTATTTGATTGTGCTGGTGTTGTTAGGTGCCACTGAGTCAGCACCGACTCATAACAACCTATGCACAACAAAACAAAACACTGCCCGGTCCTACGCCAACTTCACAATCGTTGCTATGTTTGAGCCCATTGCTGCTGCCACTGTGCCAGTGCATCTCAGTGAAGGTCTTCCTCTTTTTCTCCGACCCTCCACTTTACCAAACATAATATCCTTCTCTAGGGACTGGTCCCTCCTGATAATATGTCCAAAGTTGTTGTTGTTGTTGTTATGTGCCGTGGAGCCGGTTCCAACTCATAGCAACCCTGTACAGGGTTTACTAGGCTGTAAATCTTTACGGAAGCAGAAAGCCTAATCTTTCTCCCGGAACAGCTGGTAGTACGAAAGACGAAATCTGGCCATCCTAGCTTCCAAGGAGCATTCTGGCTGTACTTCGTCCAACACAGATTTGTTTGTTCTTTTGGCAGTCCATGGTACTTTTAATATTCTTCTTCAACACCATAACTCAAATACTTCTATGGTTTTCCTTATTCATTGCCCAAGTTTCACATGCATATGAAGTGATTCAAAAGACCATAGCTTGAGTCAGGTGTACCCTAGTACTCAAACTGACATTTTCCTGTTGTGTACGCTAAAGAGGTCTTGTGTAACAGATTTGCCTAATGCATTACATCATTGATTTCCTGACGGCTGCTTCCATGAGTGTTTGATGGTTGATACTAGCAAAATGAAGTCTTTGACAACATCAATCTTTTCTCCCTTTATATGGATGCTGTTTTGGGTCCAGTGGTGAGATTTTTTTTTTTTTTTTTCTTTACATTGAGGTGCAAGCCATACCAAAGGTTGTGGTCTTTGATTTTCAT